GGGCATGGTGGTAACAGAGACAACCCCGGCCCTGCCTTCAAGGGACTCACAGTCCAGTGGGGGAGGCAGACCCATCCTCAGACAATGATGACCCTGACAGGGCAGAGGAAAATCAAGGGGGCACCCAGGAGGGCTTCCTGGAGGGGACAATAGACTGGAACATTGAAGGATGAGTAAGAAATGAGCCAGGTAAAGTGAAGGGAGTGTTCCAGGTGGAAGTTCTGACAGTTTTCTGCTCCCTCCTTCCTCCTATTCTCCTGAAAAAATGCAACAAAGTCCCCTCTGGGCTCCAGCAGTCCTCGGGTCCCCAGTGCCAGCCTTGACCACTCTGGGGTGTCACTGTACCCCCATCACTGACTGCCAGCCCTGGGAGGAAAGGGCCACGGCTGTTCTCCACGGCTGGTCACTGCTGTGTCTCCAACACTGACAACCCAGGGCCAGGTACAGAAACAGGGACTCGGGGACGGTTTGTTGATTGAATATTAGAGTGATATGTGGGTGTGTCGGAAACAGTTGAAAGTGCGTTAAAGGAAGGGGGTCAAAGATTAAATTCCTTAAGCCCCCATTTCCCACCCTGGAAAGTGGTATAACTGGGGCCCCACTGCTGGGATTCCAGCATTTCCACTTCCTCTTCTGTGCCTCAGTGTCCTTATCTGCAAAACAGGACTTCTCTATAGGGTTACTTTGAGGACGAAACGAGATATTCGCCTAAAATGCTTACAACAGTGCCTGGAATGTAGTCAGCGGTCATTAAATGTTAGCCGGCCTTATTTTGCAATCATTTCTGATCCTCTGCCTTTTTAGCCAGCATCCTCTTCTGTGCCTGCCTCTGATCTCCAGCCATTTGAATCACCAGTATTTATCCTTCTGTGTGACATTGCATGCCTCTGCGCCTCTGCACACGCTGTTTCCTCCCCGCTGGTTCACCCTTTCTGAACTTGTCCACCTGCGGAACTCCTATTCAGCCGGCACCACCCAGCAACCACATCACCCCTCCAGATCCCCACGTTTCAGAGGCCGGTTTTCTTCTGTTCTGGGATCAAAGCCTCCTTTCCTGTCCGCCCCCCTACCGCCCTTTTGACCCTTCAGACTGTCCGAGTTCTGGGGAAGTGGCCGGCGCTATGGGAGCATCCTTTTCATTGGGTCTCTTAGTGCTCTGTCGCCCCCTTGTGCCCAGCCTCAGACCTGCATGGAAAAAGGAGCCTAGAAAATTCTATGGAAGTGTGCTGGTGATTCTCCACGTGCCCCCGGGGTCAGCCTCAGCCCTTCTCCTCCTGCTCGGGGCCCTGGGAGGCTGCCCTGTGCGGACTCCATCCTCGGGGGCCCCTGGTCCTCGGTCTTCTGCTCGAATCCTGCCAATTAGAGGCAGTGATGGAAAATTCTCGGGTGGGAGGAGAGAGGTGGGGCCCCGCCCTGCACCCCTGCCCTCTGGCCGTGGCCCCTTCCTCTCCCTCCAGCTCCAGCTCCTCCGGGCTCCCCTCCCGCGCCAGCTTTCTGCTCAAAGGGTGATAATGGTTTGGCTCACGCACACGCTGGTCCCCTGGCACCACCCCATACTTTGTGGGGTCCTTCGCCCTGCCTGTCCCCTCTAAAATGTCCCTTCCTAAAAGCTCCCACATAAACTCTTTAAGTGGCACCTGCTGCCTGCCAGGACCTCTAAGCGTAAACTTAGGGCGAGCCCAGGAGAGAAGGGGACCCTCGCCCACGAGTGGGCCCAGAATTTCTCTTTAAGAGAAGCTTGGGCCGGCCAAGGGGCTGAGAGGAGGGCTCTGTGGGGCTTGTCTGGAAGCTGATAGGATGTATATGGGGATATCTGTGGGCAGGGGCTGCAGCCTTCTGGACATTTCTCTTGGAGCTGTCCCTGACTTGAGGGAGGGTGGAAGGAGAGAGCCTTTAATCCAGTGTGTGTTGGAGGTTACAAGTCCTTGATTAACTCTCACTTTCTGTTTCCCTCAAGAGCCCTGAGAGGAACTGGGTAATATGGATCAGAGAGGTAAATTCACTTGTTGGAGGCCACACAGCAAATGATTATAATAATAGCTACCTTTAAAAACAAACAAACAAACTGTATCACTTCATTTAGATGAAGTTCTAGAACAAGCTACACTAATCTCTGGTGGAAAAAGAAAGCACGGAGCTGCCTCAGAGGGTGGAGAGTGTGAGTATTGCCTGGAAAGAGGGAAAGAACAACGCTCCTGGATGATGGAAACGGGCCACATCTTGATTTGGGTGCTTCGTCACATGGCTGTATCTGTTTGTCACAACTCATTGTCCCATTCCCTTAGGATCCGGGCATTTTTATTTTTATCAAAAAAATAAACAAACAAGAAAGAATTTGCAAACCCAATAGCCGTCATTTTTGAGGGCTACGTGCCGGGTCTGTCCGAAGTGCTTTGACCAAGAATGAATTCTCCTGACCAATTTATGAAGGGGGTGATGATCATCATAAAAACAAGCAAATATTTCTAGAGCACTCAACCAGTCGTGTATTCCTTCCCTGAAAACAATGTGTATTGCACACCTGTCGCGTGCCCCGTGGTCCTCCAGGCAATGGACACACGGCAGTAAACAACCAGATGCAAAAATGACACTCCTCCTAGTGGGGAGGCAGATCGTTAGAAAAAATAAGTGAAATTGCAGGGAGGGCCATGTTTTACAGAGCTGATCATATTGACACCTTGAAATGATATCCCCATGACAAAGGGACTATGAGGGACTGCATGGGCAGAAGAGGAAACTGAGGCACAGACAGGTCAGTAGCATAAGATTGGGCCAAGAGGCCGGGCTAGAACTGCAAGTCCCAGGGCTCCTTCCAGGGGCGCCCCGACCCTAGGACAGGGGACTTAAGGGACCTCTTTGTTCTCTCCCTTGGGGGCGGGGGGCATGCGGTGACCAGAATGTTAACGACTTATTGGGGTCTCCAAGGGAAGAAATGGCTCAACTCAAGGAGGGTCAATAGGGGAGCCCCCTACCCCTATAGCCCAGAGCCTGATCAAGCTGGCGGTGTGGGGTTGGAGGCTGGTAACAAAAGGGGTTAATGAGATGGGGGCCCCCAGGCTGGGGACCTGGACGGGTAGGGGGGGGATGTTCCAGCCGCAGGTGAGGTTCCCCAGCGCTGGAGGCCTTTATTGGGGTGAAGGCTTAAGGGGTTAAAGGGGAGCGACAGAGGAGGGTTAACGGGGGCGGGCCTGGCCGGGGCGGGGCCTCGGCGGGCAGCTCAGGCCGGGGGCCGGAGGAGTCGCCGCCGGGTCCCTGCGCCGCCGTCGAGCCGGACCCCGCCGCCGCCGAGAGAGGCACCGCCGCCCGCCCCGTCCAGCCGCGCGCAGGTAGGCGCCCGCCCCCCTCGGCGGCTTTGCGTCCTCGCGTCGCTGCCTCAGTCTCCCCCGCCGTCTCGTCCCCGCCCCTCTCCGGGGCTGGCTCTCCCAGTGTCTCCGCGGCTGACTTCGTCTCTGGGTCTGTCTCCATCTCTCCCCTTGTCTCTGATGTCTCTGTCTCTGTGGTCCCTCTCCCTTCTCTGGGTGTGTCTCTCCTTCTACATCTCTGGGCGTCTCTGTCTTTCTCTCTGCCGTTCCCTCTCTGTCTATCGCTGTCTGTCTCTCTCTTGTCTCTGCATCCCTTGTCTCTGATGGCCTCTATCCCCATCTCTTGAGGAACTCCCAGTCTCTCTGGATCTCTCTGCCTCCATCTCCACATCTCCCTGTCTCTGTGCATCTCTCTGCGCTTTCTCCTCCTGCCTCTCTGCCTCTCTCCGTATTTCTCTGTCTCTGTCTCTCAGACCGGCTCCTGGCTGCTTCACTCTGTCCTCATCTCATTCCAAACCCTCAGGCATCCGCAGAGCTTTCCCCCGGGCTGAGGAGCTGCTGGGGAGCGGGCCAGGGGGCAGTAAGGTTGCCACCTGGGGCAGGTGGACTCCGAGTGACACTGTGACCCCAGCGCCCCTTTCACATAGTCACCCCTCTGCTCCTGACGTCCCACCCACCCCACCCTCCAATTTCAGGAATTCCTGGCTGGGGGGTGGACTTCCTTCCCCACTTCCTCCCTTCCAGGATTTGGCTGGGTCACCATTAACTCCTTCCTTCCTCGGCCTCGTCCCCCCTCCTTGAACTGGACCTCTCCCCCAGCAAACCAGACTGAGGGACCACTCTGGAATTTCTATGAGGCATTGGTTGCGGGATGTGTGTTGTGTGCTGAGGCGGGATGTGTGCTGGGGGGTTTGCTTGTGGGCACCAATGGAGATGATGGGGCCACATCCTTCAACTCCCCCTCCGGGGCCCACCACCACCAGCATTACTCCTTCTGAACCCACCAAGAGGGCACTCCCACCCAGCTCCGTCTCTGTGGATGAATTCGACCTCAGATTTGGGGTGAGGATGGGGAGGTTTTCCTTTCTGGGAGGGGGGTCCAGTAGGAGGAGATAAGAGAGACAGATGAGGGGCTCTTGAACTCTGGGGACCATATAATGAAGAACCCTTGAATGTGAAGTCTATGAATGGAAGGACCCAGACCGTGAGAATGATCCGGTGGGAGGACTGGAAATGTCCCAACCTTCCAATCAAAGTCCTGAGGATATTTGAATCCTTCAATCCAAAAAGCTGAGTTTTGGAACCTTGGCAGTTTTCAGCATTCCCAGTTGTGAGCTCAGAAGGGCTTTCGCAGCCATCTGGGCCAAGCCCCCATTTTACAGATGGGGAAACTGAGGCCCAAGAGCAGAAGTCCCCACAGCGAGTCAGTGCCAGGCGGAGGATTGGAACTCCAGTTCCACGGAAGCCCCGATCCACAGACCTGCCTTCTTTGGCTGCCACTAAGTCAGATTAATTTGGGAAAAGAGGTCTTCACAGGGAGGAGGGAAGAATGCTGGGGTGAGTATGGATGGCTGGAATCCAGGAGGGAGCGTTTTAGTGGCAGAGAAGAGAAAATATTTCGAAAGCCATGGTGGTGGGGAGGGAGAGGGGACAAGAGTTGGTTTGGGTGGAAGGGGCGGGGTTTCAGAGAAGAGGGGGCAGGGGTTAACACCCGCCTGCCTCTGTCTCCTGGCCCTCCCCGGGAAGCCCACTGCTCCCGCGGGACGGGCCCTATAATTTGGTTTGTGTCTAGACAAATAATAACTCAGCTGGTGTGAGCGAGTGGGGAGGGATGAGGCAGGACACCCTGGGCAAGGGGTAAGGAGGAAGCCTGAGCTCCTAGGGGCCCCCCTCCCAGGCGGTGAGAATTTAGGGGCTAGGGGCAAGTGGCTTCTAACCCCCACCGCCACCCCCTGCGCATCCTTAGTGTCTTGGAATTCCGCACACTCCCAGAATTTCAGGCTGCTGGAATGTTAAAAAGACAGAACAGAGAAGGGGGGCAAAAAAGGAAGTGAGGTCCACCATCTGGAGAGCATGTTCCCATTTGTGTAAAAAAGAAAAGGGAAATACATCTTCGCGTTTGGTGGGCAAAGATAATAATCACCGAGTGTTTAATAATAGATTATGAAAGTCGCAGAATGTTTAAAAAAAAAAATCCTAGAGCGTTCTAACAATAGAACTTGAGATTCTTGGGATGGGAGACGCTTGGAATATTGGAAACTTAGAAGGGTAAGGGCCTGGGAAGCCGCGGTGATAATCATAATAGAATGGAAGGGAGGTAAAGCTCTGGAAGGTTATAAGAATAGCACAGTAAACCATGAACCGGACTAACAATAGAACCCAGAGAGAATAGAATCTAGAACATGGGGGAAAGAGTCAGACGACTCTGCTGTCCCTTCTAGGTGGTGTGGTGTGTGGGGGCCTTGGGGACCCATTTGGTGGAAATGGGGAAACTGAGGCCCAGAAGGGTGGTCAGCGTGGCCTGGCTGCCCCCTGGTTTCCACCAGCCGCCAGGGCACCAGGTGGGGAGCGAGGCGCGGTGATCACATTTCGTCCCCTAATGAGCAGACCGGAGCTGGCCGGTCCCCCGGGGCTGCCAGGGGAGGGGGGGAAGCAGGAGGCCGCAGAGGAGGGATGTGGGGGGCGGGGGGAGGCAGCCTGGTGGCTTCTAGGATGAGGCTGGTGAGTGAGCCGAGGGCAGCGGGGGAGGTGGGAGGCTGCATCCTCTCCCCCTCTTGTCCTCTTAATGCCCCCCCATCCTTCAGTCTTGCTGGATTTCGGGTTGGCCGGTGGGGCAGAGGGACTTATCTGGCCTGAGCAGCTGAGGCATCAAGTTGGGGCTGTGGCATGACCAGTGCTTCCTGTCCGCCCCCCTATCGCGTCACAGTCGGGCTTATCTCTCTCCCCTGCTCCTCTAGGAGGGGCCAGTGGGGACCAAAGAGGGGGGCTTGTGGGACCGGAGGCTGGCTTCTTGTGGGGCTGTGAGATTTGGGGGTAAGAAAGCCTGAGTAAGGGAGGCAACTTACACCTCAAGTCGAGATGGTCCTGACCCCAGGGGGCTGGGCCAGGGAGTCAGGTGATGGAGGGGCACGCGAGACACCGAGGTCACTTTCTTTTCTGTGGTGAGAAAGTCCGTGTATCTTTCAGCAGATTCTCAAAGTGGGGCCGAGGACCCCAGAGAGACCTGAGAAAAATTACAGGAGGGCAGGGCGTGAGGAGAGAAACCATTCAGGGAAGGGGCAACCCTTCAGTTAAGAACTGGACATTTCCCAAAAAAAAAAAAAAAAAAAGAACGAGGGGAGATCTGCCCAGTCTTGGCACATCATGTGACTCAGACAACTGCCTTGCCGCTCTGAGCCTCAGTTTCCCCATCTGTACCCGGAAGAGGTCAGAAATAGCCTCGCACCCCCCGTTGTCGCACATGGGCCTGTTGCCTTGTGGAATTCTGAGGGTCTGCCGTTCTGGGCTCTCTTTTGGGGGTTTGATGGTGGGCAGAACTTAGGTGGGGGAGAAGAGAGGGCTTGTCTGAGTGCCCCCCATGCCCAGCACCCCCAGGAAGCAGGTGGGTTGAGGAGGAGGGGCGGGAGGAGGGAGGGGTGAGCGCCCCACTGGTTCCCCCTCGAGGAAATTAGTAATGGGAAGTGTATTTCCTCTGGCTGCGGGAAATAAGTCCCCTGCCTGTGGACCGGCTCCAGCCTCAGCTGAACCCAGACGGTCTGAGAGGGTGGGGCAAAGGGAGCTCCCAGCTCTCAGTGCATCCTCCCATTCCTGGTTCCTTTCTTGTCTCAGCTCCCCCGTTCCCATGGAACAATAATTGTTCAAATACTGCACGCTTTATAGATGGTCACATGTTCTACCAAGGCTTTTCCTATCTGTGATGTGACCCGCATAAAAGTTCTGTCAGGAGGGGAAACTGAGGCTCCTGAAGGAGAAGGAATTTCCTCAGAGTTACAGGAGGATGGGGAGACCAAAGGCAGACAGAGGAGGAGACCGAGGGTCAGAGGAGACTGAGGGGAAGAGAGAGGGGAGACAGGGGTGTTGAGCGACTTGGTCGGGTTGTGGGGGGGGGAGTTCGATTCGAAGGGAAGGACTGGATTGCACTGTTCCGGCCAGGAGCAAGCTCCCTCTGCCCCGTCCCCACAGGATCCAGCAGCCTCTGTCTGGGAGTCTGGGATGGGGGCAGCCGCTCTGCCACAGAGGACCCCACAGGGGGTAGGACTTACTAAGCAGGACTCAGCCCTGACCTTTCAAAGTCAATTATGGAGCGGATAGATTCTGCCCTTTTCACTTTTTCCCTGGGACCCCGCAGGGATTTATCTGAGCCTGAAGTGGGGGATGGGGGGGTGGGGGTGCTGCCTCAAGGGGAGAGGGAGCCTGCCTTGGGGGATGGGCTGACCAACGCGTGTTCCTTCAGTCCACAGTCATTTATTGAGCGCCTACTGTATGCTGGGGATACAGCTGTAAACACGAGGTCCTTGCCTTCCTGGAACGTCCACTCTAGACAGACAGACAGACAAAAGCAAGATACGAGGTGAGGAGAGAGCCCTGGGAGTGGGGGGCGGGGGGGTGGGACTCTGGGTAGGGAGGGCCTCTGTGAGGAAGTGAAGGACATGAGGGAGCTGGTCTGCAGATCCATGGGAAGAGCCCTCTAGGTGGAGGGTACAGGAGGGCAAAGGTTTTGAGGCTGGAAAGAAGGTCATTGACCTTGAGCCTACTTAGGTGCAGGGGGGAGGCATGTGGGCAAGAAAGTCAGGCAGCACCTTGTCCCCTGGGGCAAGGAGCTGGGATTTTTACCCCAAATGCATTGGCAAGCCATTGGAGGGTTTCAAGGAGAGAAGTAACGAGAACTGATTTCCATGTTAGAAAGATCTTTCTGGCTGCCATGGGGGAAGTGAGTTGAAGGACGCCAGAGTGGCAGCCTGGAAAACAGCAAGGAGGCTACTGCACGAGTCCCAGTGAGCGCTGATGGTGGACAGAGCAGGCAGGGGCAGGGGTTTAGGGAGACATGCATGGATTCAGGATTTATTGTGGAGGTAGGCAGAGCCAAGAGGACTTCCCCGTGGAAGGATGCTCAGGCATCTGGGGGGTTCCCAAGGACCTGCTGTGTGACTTTGGGCTCATCCCTTCCCATCTCTGGACCTCAGCTTCCTCATCTGTCCAATCGACTCCACCAGTGGTTTTCAAAGGTTGTCCTGGGGATTCTCCAGAGGTGGCCTCCCTCCCCCCACCTCATTTCATCCAGAGCACAGAGCAGCTTTCCCTTTTGGCTTTCTTGGTTGAGGTTTCCAGTGAAGATCTTGTTTTGTTTCTTAAAGTTTTCACAGCCTGAAAAACGAAATCTGTGCAAATCCCTGGATCCGAAGATGCCTCTGATTCAGGACTTTGCTCCCCTTCCTCCGGGGCTGACGGTGGTCAGGGGCTTGGTCCATGACCGTCCGCTGCCCTGTGCTTTCAGGTCTCCCCAGGACCGAGGGGGTGACAGGCCCAAGGTTCTCACTCGGGGGAGCCAGAGGGGAGTAAGAAGAGGCAGTGACGGGAGTGGTCCCTGAGGGAGGGGACGGCAGGCGCTGACCCCAGGGCCTCCCCCTGCTCCCCGACCTTGATCGAGTCCAGTAGCTCCTCCTCTCCTCCCTCCCCCCCGGCAGCTGTGGCTCCCAGACCCCGCTGTCAGCCCAGGGTCCTTCTCTGTCCATTTATTCTTGGGTGGAAACATGCACAGACTGGAGAAAAGGGGCGAAAGCCGAGATTTTCCCTCTTCCCTCGTCAGGACCTTGGACAGGTCTCGGAACCGCACTGTGCCTCAGTTTGTCGAATAGGGCAAATAACGTACTTTCCTCAAGGGGTCCTTGAAATTTTAATGAATTAATACCCATAACAGTGTTGAGAACAGGGTCTGAGATGTAGTAGGACTCAATAAACTTTAGCTATTATCACCATTGTCATCATCATTGTCAAGAAAGGGGTGTCCGGGTTGAGGAGTGGAAAGCTGGTCCCAGCCCAGGTTCGGTCACAGCCTTGCTGTGCGTCCTTGAGGGAAGTGACCCAGCTTCTCTGGGCCCCTTCTCCTTGCCTGTGAATTGATGGGGTTAGCCTCGTTTAGCAGTTCCCAAAGCATGATATGATATTTGTACCAGTTTTACATGGTTTCTGGAAGAGAGTTCTAAAATCTGAGTTGGGTCTTTAACACCTACGAGGGATAAAATATACATCCAGCACCTCAAATCTGTGTTTTCAGAGATCTTGCTTAGAGTGGGGCTCAATCAGGCATCGTTGGGTTGCCCACCCCCTGCAGCCCACAGGAGTTACGGTGAGGGGTGTGGGGAGAAGGGGGTGGTCCGTGACCCCATCACTGCTGTCCTCTCTCCCCGCAGGCCCTGCCAAGCCAGCTTTGAGCCGTGAGCGTGGCCACTTCTTCTCAACTGCTCAGCCCCCACCAGGACCAAGCCGGAGCCCCTCCCCTGCCCCCTTCAAATCCCCTCCATCCTATCCTTCCTTTGATCTAACCCTGACTCACCTCCTTCCTGTTTCTTAGAAACCCTTCCCACATCCCCAGACTGAGCCCTTCCTCTCTGGCCGCCCCCCACAGGACGTCTCCTTTTTCTGTAATCTTCTCTTTGGTTACCTTACTCTCTATTTCTTACTGGGGTCCTAGGAGATACCAGCACCCCCATTCACCATGCCTGATCTTTTCAACACTCCCTAACCACAGTCTGCCCTAGCTCAACACTATCCCATATATTTCATGTGTCTTCTAGGACATTCCACCCCACCATTACACTTACTTCCTATATCAACTACAAATATCTTTCTCTCACCACTGCCCACTGATGCCGCCATCTCATCTATAAACGTTCCTGTCAGCCAATTTTTGTGTCACCCCAATACTCCCTCATTTATGCTCTGATTGCGTCTGTAAACACCTCCTTGACAAAGCTCTTTGTTAATCCTGCCATCCCCCCAAACACCCCTCCTGTTGTAATTCTATCCCTCCTCCAACTTTCCCCTCTCAAGCTCTACCCTCCGTGCCCCGCTTTGCCCACGATTCTCGGTCGATCTCATTTCTTCCCCTCGGAGCTCCCACCATGTTACCCTGAGCCTCCAAGGAGGGGGCTCAGGGGGCCCGATGGCTTCCCGCCCCCCGTGGCCCCACAGCCCCCGTGGGCCAGGGGAAGTGCCTCGAAAGCCCCAGTGCCCAGGATGGGCAACCGCACGTGGGAGGGCTGCCATGTGGACTCACGTGTGGACCACCTCTTCCCGCCGTCCCTCTATATCTTTGTCATCGGGGTGGGGCTGCCCACCAACTGCCTGGCCCTGTGGGCCGCCTACCGCCAGGTGCGGCAACGCAACGAGCTGGGCGTGTACCTGATGAACCTCAGCATCGCCGACCTGCTGTACATCTGCACGCTGCCGCTGTGGGTGGACTACTTCCTGCACCACGACAACTGGATCCACGGCCCCGGCTCCTGCAAGCTCTTTGGGTTCGTCTTCTATACCAACATCTACATCAGCATCGCCTTCCTGTGCTGCATCTCCGTGGACCGCTACCTGGCCGTGGCCCACCCGCTGCGGTTTGCCCGCCTGCGCCGTGTCAAGACGGCCGTGGCCGTGAGCTCCGTGGTCTGGGCCACCGAGCTGGGTGCCAACTCGGCGCCCCTGTTCCATGACGAGCTCTTCCGGGACCGCTACAACCACACCTTCTGCTTCGAGAAGTTCCCCATGGAGGGCTGGGTGGCCTGGATGAACCTCTACCGCGTGTTCGTGGGCTTCCTCTTCCCGTGGGCTCTCATGCTGCTGTCCTACCGTGGCATCCTGCGGGCCGTGCGGGTCAGCGTGTCCACCGAGCGCCAGGAGAAGGCCAAGATCAAGCGGCTGGCCCTCAGCCTCATTGCCATCGTGCTGGTCTGCTTCGCGCCCTACCACGTGCTCCTGCTCTCGCGCAGCGCCGTCTACCTGGGCCGCCCCTGGGACTGCGGCTTCGAGGAGCGTGTCTTCTCCGCGTACCACAGCTCGCTGGCCTTCACCAGCCTCAACTGCGTGGCTGACCCCATCCTCTACTGCCTCGTCAACGAGGGCACCCGCGGCGACGTGGCCAACGCCCTGCACAACCTCATCCGCTTCCTGGCCAGTGACAAGCCCCAGGAGATGGCCAACGCCTCCCTTACCCTGGAGACCCCACTCGCTTCCAAGAGGAACAATGTGGCCAAGGCCGTGGCGGCTGGCTGGGCGGCAGCTCCGCTGGCCCAGGGGGACCAGGTGCAGCTGAAGATGCTGCCACCGGCACAGTGAACCTCAGATCACGCAGAGCCCCCTCCTCAAATCTCATCTCACACCCTCTTCCCTCTGGGGCTGGTGTATGCAAATTTATGTAAATAAGTCCATATTAATATTCATAAGAATATAAAAATAGGAAAACAGTGAGGTTGGTGTGTCACGGGTCAACCATCATCCTCCACCATGACCCCCTAACAATTCAGCTGAACTGTACCCAGCCCTGGGCCGGGTGGTGCTGGTGACACGGAGGCGACGAGTGACAGCCCTGGCCCTGCCCTCACGGGCTGCCACTCCAATGAGGGAGACAGATCTGTCCCCAGGGGGTCGTGACCCAGAGTGGGCAGAGCTCACACAGGGCAGCTCAGGGACTGGGGGAGCCCAAACGGGCATCTGACCCCAGTCTGGAGGTCAAGGAGGGCTTCCTGGAGGAGGGGACCAGTTAATTAAGTCAAATATTTGGCTTCCAGAAGGTAAAGACAAAAAGAGAAAAAAGGATTATTTCCAACAAGGGGATCTCTTTGTGATTCAAGGGGAAAGTGGAAGGAGAAATTCCCTGGGAGTGGAGTGATCACTTTCGCCCTTGGAAGCTCCTGGTGATACGGGGAGAGAGGGCATGACGGAGCAATTCTGAGTCCCTAGATAAACAGCACTCTCCAAGTCAGGACTGAGGAAGAAGAGAAAGTCAGAACCCAAGGGAAGGGTGACGGGGCAGTCTGGCTGGAGCAGCTGTGAGCTGGGCAGGCTGGGGACGGGGGCTCAGGACAAATGGAAGGATATTTATTCATTCGTTCGACAGAGATTTGTGCCCACAGTCTGTCCAGGCCCCGATCAGGGGGAAGAGCGTTGCACACAGAGGGAACAGCAATGCAAAGCCCTGGTATAAGAGAGAGCCCGAATTCCGAGGGACGGCCAAGCACAGCGGTGTGGCTGGAGCAGAGGGAGGGCGAGAGGGTGGGAGGGGAGTCTGGCAAGGGACAGAGGCTGATCTTTTGGGGTTTTGTAAGTCCTGGTGAGGACTCTGCCTTGTACTCTGAGATAAGGGGGGGCTGCGAGAGGGCTCTTGGCAGAGGAGGGATGTGATTTGACTTAAATGTTCACAGGATCCCGCTGGCTGCTGAGTGGGGCACAGAATATGGGAAGTAAGGGCGTAAGCGGGGACCCCGGGAGGTGCCTGCAGTAGTCCCGTGGGAGATGCTGGCGGCTGGACCCAGCGTAGGCGGCGGAGTGAGCAGGGAGCAGTGGTCAGCTTTGGGATTTATTTTGAAGGAATACTATGACGGAAGAAGCACAAGGGTCTGTGGGATTACATAACAGGAGCCTCTTGCCCATCCTGGGAAAAGGGTGACGAGCGGGCTTGAGCCGGAAGGACCTCTGGGAATGATCCCAGGCCCTAGTCCAGGGCGGTCACCAGAGAGGCCAAGTGACCAGCCTAGGGTCACACAGCCAGTGAGTCAGCGCTGGGGCCATCCTGAGCTCCCTCTCCCCTCCCTGTCTCTGCCTCTGTTCCCACGCCCCAGAGTGGCCAAGGCTGCCTGTCCTGGCTGATAGCGTCCCCGCCCTCCCCTTCTTTCCCAGGGGTATCAGGCTGCAAGCTCCCGATGGGAAGTGAAGGTCCCCTACACACACACACCCCTGCCCCAGGAGAGGTTCCGGAAACCCTTTTCAGAGACAGGGAGAGGAGGGAGGAGGGGAAATGAGAAAAAAATGAACTTAATCGGGAAAATGGTTTTGCGGGAGGGGGGTTACTGAGATGCGGGAAGTTGGGGCTTTGGCGTTGGGGGGAGAGGCAGGAGGGGGGCCTGGGATCCAGGGGGGCTGTAATTTTCCCACCCTGTCCCATCGCCGTGATGCCACTGGGATGGAGACGTAGGGGGCCAGATCCTTTCTGAACACAGCCCCCTCGGAGACTCAGATGACAGCCTGCACACCACCCCTCCACCAAATGCTCCTTCCCATTCGTGCAATAGGTATTCACTGCACACCTACTGTGCGCCGGGCACTGTTCTAGGGGCTGAGGAGACGGCCATGAACGACACAGCGAAAAAGTCACGTCCGAGTGTGGAAGTTTCCTGAGCCGATGACAGGGCACCTCAGCACCCCAGTGGGTCCCGGGGGGCCCGGGCTAAACCTCCAGGGGTCGGAGGGAGAAGACTTGGAGCTGGGACTCCAGGAACCCCAGCCTCCGCTCCGTCCCGGTCACCCCTGGAACTCTGTAAATCCTTTTCATCCTCTGGCCTCAGTGGGCCAGTCTGCACAATGGGGAGAGGGGTTGGTCCCAGGCAGACGATGGACCTTGAAGAGGCCCCGAGCTCCCTCACCCCTTCGGTCCAGTTGGGGTCCTGGGGACGGGTTGTTTTTACGGAATCCGAGCATCCTTGGGAATTTAGAAGATCTGGGTTCCCGCCTGCGAGTATGGTCCTCATCACAGATGGAGACAGGCAGGTGCCCCAGGGCCGGGGAGGCGGCCGAGGATGCTCAGGGAGTGAGAGTGGGGGCCGAGGGAGGCGTCCTGACGTCTGGTCCCTGCTCCACATCACTCTGGGGCTCCCATCTTCCCTCTCCCTCTGCCTCCCACTCCGCCGTCCAGGGATTCCTCCCCGCCAGCCCCTGACCTTGTTTACGTGATCTTGCTCCCCGCCGGGTGACGGGGGAGGGAGGGCAGTCTGGGACGAATCCTTAAACTCCTCCCCGAGCCGGCTCTCTAGGGACCTCGCCCCCAGGGGAGGAAGTGGGGCCGCCTGAGAACCGGCCCGGTCGCATCAGCCCCTCTGCGGGCTGCGGGAACTCGCGTCAGCCCCCGGCCCCACCTCCGGGCCTCGGGGTGTCAGCTGCCTCTGCAGAGGACGTGCGCTCTCACGCCGGAGGCAGCAATAATAACACTAAGATCTGGAGAGTATTAAGGGCTGTTTATTGCGCGCTTACCACGTGACTGGCGCCATTCGAAGCACTTGGCATAGTTCGATCACTCTGTTTTTATGTACAAGATTCCCAGGCAAGCCTCCTAACAACTCCATAAGGGGAGGGCTGTGAGGATTCCCATTTTGGAGACGGGAATGCTGATGCCCAGAGAGGTTAAGTCACTCGCCTAATAGCACACAGCAAGTAAAGGGCGGAGCTGGGATTCCAACCCAGGTCTGTAGGATACAAGGCCAGTTTCTTCTCTAACCTGCGGGGGGAGGTGTATTTGGGACTCGCTAGCCCTAATCAGGGCTAATTTTAAGAGCCTCCTTTGGGCGGAGAAGCCACCTAAGTACGTGACGTCACGAAGGAACGCGGTGACATCAACCGAAGCGGGCGTGGGAACCCATCAACGCTCCCGCGAGCAGCCGTTTAACGACACTGCCCCCCGACCGCCTCACTTCCGCCGCATATTTGCATATTCAGCGAACGGCCGTTGGGGCGTCAGCGTCGACGCGGTGACGTCAGGAAGCGCCCCTGCCGCTCCCCGCCCCAAGCGTACGCACGTACGCACGCACGCACGGCGACGAGGGGGCGGGGGAGGAGGAAGAGCGCGGAGGTGCCCCGCCCAGTGAGCAAGGTTGCGCGTGCCCCTTGCGGCCGCCAAGATGGTGGTGGGCGCGTTCCCTATGGCGAAGCTGCTATACCTGGGCATCCGGCAGGTCAGCAAGCCGCTTGCCAACCGCATTAAGGAGGCCGCCCGCCGAAGCGAGTTCTTCAAGACCTATATCTGCCTCCCGCCGGCTCAGCGTGAGTCTGACCCCACGTCCCTCCAACCTTTCCATTCTCCAACCCCTTTCAGGTGGTTGCTCAGGGGATGGACTTCTGTGCACGACCAATCACAGCCCGAACCGGCAAAGTGCTGCAGCCAATAGGAAGGGTTCCTGGGAGAAGGGCATGCGGGCAGCCCAATAATAAGAACCGGCGTGGGGTAGGGCGCCAGCGCTCGAGTTGGGAATATCAGCCAATAGGAAAAGAGAACTCCTGGAGACTGACGTCTAGGCGAGCCAATAGTGTGGGGGACAGGAGTAATCTGGGCGGGGAATTCCAGGACTGGGAGGAGCTAGGGGCGGGGCCGAGGAGAGAGAGGACGGGGTCATTTGCTAGGCCGTCCTTAGGCGACTTGGCTTCCAAAACTCCACTCCGTGCTTCAGTTTCCCTCCCTTCCCGAGGAGTGAGAGGTGCTGATATATCATCTGTTTAGGACATCGGTTTGCCCCAGTGTTAGTCTGGGAAAGAGGCCTGGGCTAGGGGCGTGGCTCGGGGCCGGGGTCTGGGGTCTGGGGGCGTGGCCTGGGACGTTCACCCGTCCTACACGTGGTTGTTGGTCCACTCATTCCGTAGACGGACCGTGCCGGCTCCTTGCTGGGCACCGGGAGACACACTCGACCCGTCCTGTTAACCCGGAGTGGTCAGGGTGGTGGGAACGCTGGGACTCAGAGCCTGACCTGGGGGCGTGGGGTCCGGAGGGCTGTCTAGACGCGGGCAGCCCGAGCTGAGATCTAAAGGGCATAGTAAACGCTCAAAATAGGAGCCACTTTACAAAGACGAGGTAGGTGCGATCGGCCTATGGGAGCATGGAGTAAGGAAATTTAACGTAATTTGCTGGGTCGGGAACCACCATTCATTCATCCATCCATCCATCCATCCATTGCTTCATTTAGTTAGTATTTTCTGAGCATGTGTTCTGTGCCCGGCCTCGTGCCGGGCAGTGCTGGTGAAACAACAGGGACCAAGCTGAGAGCCCTCAAGGAACTCTCAGTCCAGTGGGGACAGAGCCATCTTGCGAGAGTGACCACCCAGCGTGGGCAGAGCTGGGATGGGGGAGCCCTCTGGACGCCTGACCTGGCATGGGGTTCAGGGAGGGCTTCTTGGCAGAGGAGACCACTGAGCTGGAACCTGAAGGGTGAGGACAACCTCACCAGATGACACGGAGACAGGGGTGATGTTGGGGGAGACGGAGGAGCATGTGCCAAGGTCACAGGGAGGAGAAATGACTTTCCCCAGTTGATAGAAGAGGAAACGGAGCCCTTGAGAGCAGAAGTGAGTGGCTGAGGTCCCACGGAGTTTGTGCCAGACGGGGGACTTCAACCCTGCAGTCTGGATTCCCAGAGCTGCAGCCTTTCTCCCAAACATGGTGATAGGTCATAGCCTTGTGCATTAGAAAGTGGTTTCTTGAGTCACACTCGGTCGGCTCCCAACCGGCCCCACCCCTTCCTAGCCCGGCGGCTTGGGGCAGGTCCCATCAAGTGGCCTCCGAGCTTTACTGTCCTCTTCTGTGTAGTGCGTGTTGTATAATAGCAGCATTTAATGGATGCTCACTCTGTGCCAGGCTAGGCGCTTCCTAGGCCTTCTAGCATTAAGACCGCACAAATCATTATGAGGTAGCTACTGTTGTTATGCCCATTATACTATATATGCATTTACACCATGAACACTACTCACCATGGTTTTGTGAGGAGTAAATGGATATAAAATGTTGTCAGTGCTTGGCGCTAACATGGGGCTGTTGTGTAGATGCTGTGGATACAGCAGAGGAGAAAAAGCAAAAAATCTTGTCCTCAGGGACCTTACATTCTTGAGGGGGAAGCCAGACTATTAAGAAAATAAATAGTTAAGATATGAGGCGTACTAGCTAACAATAACTGCTCCAGAGAAAACATCAGGGGTGCAGAAGGAGGAGTATTTGGAGGCAGGTTGTAAGCGTTTTGTTTTCAACCCAGGGAACACAAGCTCTCTGATTGATACACTTGAAAGGATACAGACAGAGCACACTGATATTTATCACTTAAGGATTTCTCCCTCTTCCCCTCTTTTTTTTTTTTTTTTTTTTTTGGTGAGGAAGATTGGCTCTGAGCTAACATCTGTTGCCAATCTTCCTCTTTTTTTTTTTCTTCCCAAAGCCCCAGTGCATAGTTGTATGTTCTAGTTGTAGGTCATTTTAATTCTTCTATGTGGGATGCCGTCTCAGCATGGCTTGGTGAGCAGTGCTAGGTCTGTGCCCTGGATCTGAACTGGCAAACCCCAGGCTGCTGAAGCGGAGCATGCAAACTCAACCACTCGGCCACAGGGCAGGCCCCCAGGTTGTAAGTTTTGATAGGGTTATCAGGGTGACCCCACTGAGGAGAGGGGGGAGCAAGCAGTACCCTCCTCTCTTTCTGCAGAATGCTCTTCCCCAGGTATCTGGCGGAAGAGCATTCTATCCCAAAAATTCTGCATGTGCAAAGGCCCTGAGGTGAGAGTGTGCTGGGCATGTTTAACAAACAGCGCTTTACCACCTGGGTCATCATTTATTAGCCTGCAACAAACTTGCTTTGTCTTCGTTCTCGTAGATGTATGTGTGTATACACACTTTTTTTCTTGAACCATTTGAAAATAAGTTTTGAACATGACACTTCACTCCTAAATATTTCAGCCTATCCCTCCTAAGAACAAAGACATTCTATACAACACTGTAGCAATATCGCACTGGAGAAATTTAACATTGATAACAATAATATTGATAATTTTGTGGTTTAATATATAGCTCATATTCTGATTTCTCCAATTGTCCCCAAAATGTCCTTTTTCCTGTTTTAGTTTGTGTGTGTGTGTGAGGAAGATTGGCCCTGATTTAACATCTGTTGCCAGTCTTCCTCTTTTTGCTTGAGGAAGATTGGCTCTGAGCTAACATCTGTGCCAGTCCTCCCCTATTTTATGTGGGATGCTGCCACAGCACGGCTTGAAGAACGGTGCTAGGTCTGCACCAGGATCCGAACCCGTGAACCCCGGGCCACTGAAGGGGAGCCAGTGGACTTAACCACTATGCCACTGGGCCAGCCCCTTTTTTTTACTATTTATTATTATGATTATTTTTAATCGAGGATCCGGTCTGGGATCATGCACCGCCTCCTTGGTTATCATGCCTCTTTGGTACCCTTTAATCTCCAACAGTGCTCTGCTATCCGGCCCGCTGCCTGTCTTTGTAAATAAAGTTTTATTGGAACACAGCCACACCCATTTGTTTGCACATTGTCTGCGGCTGCAGAGCTGGGTGTGTGTGGCCCTCAAATCTAAAATATGTACTCTGTGGCCCTTTACGGGAAATGTTTACTGACCTGCTCTAGGACAGTAACCCTGCCCTTGTTTGTCGTGACAGTGACATTTGGAAGAGTCCAAGCCAGTTGTCCCATAGAGTGTCCTCCATCTGGAGTTTTCTGATCGCTTCCTCTGATTGGATTCACAGTGAGCATCCTTGGCAGGAACCCCACAGACGTGATGGGGTGTGCTGAGGACGTCACCTCAGGGGGCCCCGAGGTCTGTTTCTTCCGTCGTTTGTGATGGTGACTTGGACTGCAGTGTTAAGGTGGCGGCCACCGAAAGAACCTTTCCTGTTCCCCTTAGTAATGAATAAGCAGTCGATTTGTTTGGAAGGTAGAGCCGGCAGGATTTCCTGTGGCCTGGCCGTGACATGGCCGACTGGAGGAGGGGCGGTTTGCACGGGAAGGACCAGGAGCTCGGTCTGAGCCAGGTTGAGCTGGAGATGCTGGTGGACATTGGAGTGCACTGGCTTGAATATCTCCGCTTGTGTTACTCCGTTGTTACTGGCTTCGCACCGCTCACGGCCCTTTGCTGCGGCCCTGCCTGTGTGAGGCCAATCCCCTAAGCCCGGAGCAGCCTTGTGTTCGCCCGGGCCAGGCCTCCCGGGGACCAGCACATCCAGCGCCTCTGGCTGAGGTTCTTGCCACTCGGCGGAGTGAGCCTGCTGGCCGTCTCCTCCTCCGAGAGGCTGGAGTGGGAGGCGTGTCTGCCTGAGGAAAGAACAGTCAGTGCCAGAAGCATAAATCATTGATGGTGTGCTCTGTTGGGGAGCCAGAGACCCTTCGCAACAGCCATTTCTGGGGGAGGAAAAAAAGGAGGTTGGCCATGCCAGGCAGGTGGGGCGGCTCCCGTAAAGGGCACTGCTGACGCTTGTGGGGCAGCTGTGGGCCGTCTGTGGGCAGCGAGGAGATTCCGGGGCCGTGTGCTTCTCCCTTGGAGTAGACTGGTCGTTTTTCTAGTTTACACTCACAGTTAGCGAATAACAGCATCCTAGAGATGCCCGCACCCCAGTCCCGGGAGCCTGTTGAATGTATTACCTTACCCAACAAAGGGAACTTGAGAGATGTCATGAAATCAAGGATTTGGGGACAGGGAGATTATCCTGGATGATCCAGGCGGGCCCTGTGTCATCACAAGGGTCCTTATAAGTGAAAGAGACACACAAAAAAGGGACCGGTTGGAAGATGCGTGCTGCTGGCCTTGAAGATGGAAGAGGGGCCAGGAAATGCATTCTCCCCCAGCGCCTCCAGAAGGAGCGCTCCTCCTTGAGCTTAGCCTCGTGAGACCCTAGTGAGACGTTTCGGAACCGAAGCTGGTCAGTTTGTGTGGTTTTAGGCCACTGCGTTGGTGGTCCTTTGTCCCAGAAGCGGTAGGAGACCGATGTGCCACGTTCATTCGCGCAGGTCGCCGGGCTGATTTCCTCAGCAGTGCTGAGCTCTGTGGCCGTTCTCCCGACTTTAAGCCGTGGAGTTGGTTTCAGTTTTCTGTTGCTACATGGCTTCTGGCCCAGAGCTTAGTGGCTTAATGTGGTCACCCTTTTATTTGCTCTCACAGTTTTGTGGCTTGGCGGGGGTCAGCTGGCCGACTCCTCTGCTGGTCTTGCTTAGTGGTCTCTCATGGGGCTGGGGTCAGAGGGTGGCCGGGGACTCTTCTGGGGCCTTGGAATGGTC